ATGGTCACCATTCCCAATACGCATCAAAAAGTGGCCAAACACTCATACCATTTCATCATTGCCCAAGTTTAAGATTCGTGTATTTTCGGTCAGTTGATGAACCTCAAAAAGTTTCCACAAAGGAGACATTTTCATGGGCGCATCAATTTGTTGCGCTCGCGATCCGTGTTTCACAACGGGCAAAACCTGTCTAAAATCCCCAGCAAGAAGTAGAACTTTTCCACCAAACGGTTTGTCACTGTTACAGAGGTCCCGAAGCGTAATATCAAGAGCTTCCAAGTGAAACTTGTTACTCATCGGAGCCTCGTCCCAAACAATCAAGTCGGCACTGCGGATAAGATCACTTTGTTTCGGAATAAAAAAATGACGCGTGTTATCAGGTTTCAAAGGTGCGAGAAATCGTAAGTGAAACGTTCGACCCCCTGTCAAAAGAGTAGTCACTATCCCACTGGACGCGACGGCCAATGGAATGACAGAACGCGACCTGATGCCTGCCAAAATCGTTTCAATGCAAAAAGTCTTTCGTGTTCTAGCCGATGCATCGACAAAAGTACGAAACAGTCTTTTCTCTTGCACAACTCGAACGACTCTTTCCACCAACACTAATTGACGTGGACAAAGACGTCAAAAATTAGAGTCATATCTGCGTTGCATTTGAATCGGATCATACGACAACTCGTCATTTAGAATTGAGGATACCGTTCTATTTTCGTAACGTCTGTTATGTTCTCAACAATTGTTTTCTCATCGGGTGTCAGATTATAAAGGCAAAACTGACGGATGTTTTTTCCAGACTCTCGTAAAATACGGTCAAGATGGAATAACGCTAGCGATTGCAAAATGTTCGGGGGAACAATTTCATTGTCTGCGCGATACTGAAAATCGTCACACATCTTATCCCAATATCGTTCGAAGAAACGAACGGGATCGTTCACTGGACCAAACGTGAGAACCATAGTGAATATTACGAACTTCTTTAGACATGTAATGCGTCGCAGTTGTGTCGATGCATTGATCATATGCATCGTCTGTTTGAAAAAATATCTAATCGAAGACACACAGATCGAAAAGAATCGTACTCGACTCCGTCCACCGTACGAATTTCGGCAAAAAAACACACCCCATGAAAATGTTCATGGTTTAGCAATACGCACACATAAAATTGTTCGCCTTCCGTGATCCTCACATGATGCAACCACAATATCTTTTCAAAGGGACGACTATAAAGATCACACTTTCTTCGGTTCCACTTCTTATGTTTGTTATCCCACACATGAGTATTAACGATCTCTGCATACAGAGGAAACTCCTTTTTAGGAACATGTTCATTAAAAAAGTTGTGTTCCATCAATGCCGTCAATTTCGTTTTCGGGGGCCCTTGCGAAAGAACGTTATGCTCAGTGTCAGGTTCGAATTGCAATTTTTGCATGTTTTCGAGATGCACAAACAATCTTTCGACCGCGGGTTATTGTTCCGCAACGTCGAACTCAAATAGACGCGAGCATTCTTCGCATCCACCGACAACACGCATATCTTGATACAATTTGACCTCGTCGATGAGCGCATTATTATCTTGCTCGCAAACCATAGCACGATCGCACCCTTTGTACACGTACTTGTATGCCTTAATGTTAGCACAATATTCAACATTTAAGTGGCAATTAAACCTCATTAGCAAGTACGGGTTATACGAAACTACACGCCGATTGTCGTAAACGACTCCATTTTGAACAATTGTAAAACCACCGTCACTTGGTTTCCTTCTCCTATACGAAGGGTATGTCTGTTCGTCTTTGAATGTTGTTGTTGAAATGAAGTATTTTGGAAACCCTTTTGTGCATTCTCCGTCCTCCGTACACGAAGCGTCGTGTTTCTCCGCTCCGCAAATCCCGTGCAACATGAATTTGGCTACCCTTTCTCTCAATTCCCCTTTAGGAGGAATCTCGACACACACCACATTGTCAACAGCATCTGCATCCCGAATTTTATCATCCGGATGCAGGATAACCAATATATGAGTGTGTGGTAGACCTATTTTTTGAAACTTCACCACATACAACATTTCACTCACCCTACCAAAGATTCGTTTGTTCTTTATCTCATCAATCAGCTGTACAAAATAACCTTTGAACACTTGCGCCAGAAGATCCGGTCTGTCGTTAGGACATTGACCTGGCAACAGGGCTTATTTGCACTCCGACCAGTTAGTGTTGCACGTTATGGTAATAAAAAAATCGGGTTTTCTGAATCGGGTCACAATTGTCATGCTGTCGTGATATCTTTCACTCATATATCGGGGACCCCAGTGAACGTCGACAATAAAACCACTTTTGTCCCAACACCGTCAGCACGTTAATTTTGTTGCACGACGTCTCGTAAATCCTGATAATACTCCGAGCGCAATTCTTTTTGGTGGAATCGCACCTATTTTAAGCGGAAAGATTCAACTTTAGTGTACACCATGCAACAAAACTCGTGGAAGAGACGTGATGCATAAAGGAGGCAATGCCTTTCACCATCACGCTCGTGAAGGTAAAATGCATACTACTCTTTGGCAGTAAGTCCTGACGGTCATCCAGCTTCCGAGGCATGTCTGACAGACCAACTATTAATTCCCTCCAGGAAAAGTAAAACAAACCTTAAGCAGTCGTGCGCTCGAGAACATTCCGGAACCACAATCGTCTGCCTCTCGCCCGGAAGAGGAACACGCAAACTAATCTCGAGCTCACGAGGAAGGAGTTCATCGACCATCAGAACACACCCCTCGTGTAAACCTATAGGACGATTATAATGCCTTGCATGTTTCTCATCAGGCATGGCATCCGGATTTATGACCAACTTCCTCCCGTTCAACGCTTCTGGCGGAAGGTCAGCAACCATCATAAAGTCCTTCACGTAATTGTTACATCATTGTAGCAATTCGTGAAACCTTCTAAATATGCGTTTTGCTCGGTCAGGTTCCGCATCGGGTGTAGGTGTAGGTAAGTTAAGAAAATCTACCCTTTGGTCAATCGCGTCGTCCAAACGTTGAGGATCGTGCAAGTATAGTTGAGCAAACTGAGGACGTTCCCCTTCCAGCAAAACCAATGCACCGACACGATGAAAGATTGGACCTTGAGCCCTAAGTTGGTCCTAGAATCCTGGAACACCATCGCTCAGTTGCTTCAACCGTGAGGATCCGAGGGATAAACTATTATTTAATTATCCTCACATTGTTTCGAAGGAATCAACCGTCGGAAGTTTGAGACGTCCAAAGGGAAATATTCTTATGCTCCGGGAAGCCTTCGTAAGGTCATTCTCATAAAGGACAATGCTTTGTACCTTTTCGGCAACACATCTGTGTCCATTTTCTTTCGTGATGCTACAATTTAGCACCACAATGCTTACACGGATCTCGACCGCCAATGCCGAACGGTTCCACAGTACTAGCATTCCCAAGAATTGTCACAGTGTTCTCAACCGCCGCATAGGTTGTTGTCACGGGTGCCGATGGGAGTGCATTAAGATCAGGGGCCGGAACATTATGGGAATCATTCATTTCTTCCTCACGACTGTGCGGCTTACTGTCTTCGTCATTGTTCATTGAATTTCGATTTCTCACGGATGGATTTTGCGGTTGTCTCGCTCACGATAACAGACTCCGCGAGTGCCTCGCCCAAAAAGATTGACTTCGTGATTGTCTCGCAGGAGAAGATGCACTCCTCGATTACGCAGAGGCGCTCGCTCGAATATCTCAAAGGATATTCGCATCGAACAAACATCGCCTCACACCCCGTACAAAATCTTTATGAGCACGCATATCTTCTTTCGTCCTATGATTTTTAAGTGCAGCTCTCAATGCACACATACGTTTGACACGAAAGTCTGGTCGTCTTCCCTGACTTTTTCTTCGTTTTGAAATTATACGTGACGTAGAACATGGTTCATTCACATTCATTCTATCAACTTGTTCCGTTCCTTCACCAACCTCTACAGTACTTTCAACAACCTATTGCATTTGCATCATAACCCGATGACACATGGTGAGGCATCGACGACAACGATCCAAGTTCCAAACGACGCACGACTTTATTCGCACGCAGTCGTCGAATCAGCAATATACGGTACTGTCTGTTGCGCCTTGAATGAATCAGATTTCATAATAATAATCTTATTCGTCGATTATGAGATTTAATAAACTTTCTAATTAATGTGTTTGGCGAATTCGGTTGGGCCGTGGCAGCAAAAAATGAATGTGCATGAATATTTGTCAAAGTGGGAGAAAGGTTGCTCTCCATAGATTTTGGCCAGACGTCGGCAGTCAATGTCGACGATGAACAATTGTACATATGTAGCGAGTGGAAGGGAAAATCATCGAGTAAAACCGATCTTTCAACTATCGAAACGGAATCTGGCATTTATTGCAATGTCCGTACGAATTTCAAGTGGAACTTCACTTTGCAAGGTCATAGAAAGATTTTCATGACAAGTAATGCGATCCGTACGAACATTAATATATCCTTGACTCGTTCTTTTGAAAAACACTGGCTTGTGAAATCATTCATCGATGGAATCGCTTGTCGAAAAGATAGAGACCTATCACTATATTGTTCTTCGGGAGAACAATCAGGACCAGCATCTTGAGTTACCATCGGTTGTTTATCTCTCCTAGAGCAATCCCCTCACCTGCAGCACATACCGCCTGTTGTAAAGACCTTCGAGTTCGATGACTTTGGAAAACTGGTGGTCTGCGTTTGTGGTATTCGTGTTGTGATGACATCGGTGTGTCACTCACAGAGCGACCGGGAGTAATATTCGAACCTATACACAATCTCAATCCGAAGTTGGATGAGGAAGAAGAGCGGTCTAACGAAGACAAACCGACCTGACCTGGAACAGCGGAAGGACACCCAGTACACTCTGATACCATTGGCGAAGACACCTGAGGATCCTTAACAGCCCTTTCACAACGCCGAAGGCGTTGTGACACTTCCATGGAACATGCAAGGACGTATCTGCAGGTGAAGAGAAAGTTGGAACAGCGGATAAATTACTGTTGGTTGAATCGTTATGTGGACCTTGGTCCTCTGCCATATTAATGGGCACGTACGTACGTATTTGTACACGAGCACGTCATCGTGGATAGGAGGAATAAGATGCATACAAAAAACCGAAACGAAAATAATACACCTCAAAATATTCATATATAGATATATGAAGAAGAGTAATATAGTGTCAAGTAGAAAAGAAAAAAAAAAAGAAAAACAAAGAGGACATAGTGCAACATAAAGGACGCAGCCACATTGCGAAGCACAAACGATAAAAAAAAAAAAAAGTTGGTTCGTTTTTTTTTTTTTCAACGCGTTTATCGAGGTTAATCAATGTTAATTCACATCGGAATTTATTTGTTCGTGCAAATATAGATGTATAGGTCCGCTTTCATATTTTTGCAAACGTTTAATCGGGACCGGAACTTCTTTGAACTCCTATTGAGGTTAATTAACACGCCTCCAATTTTGTTTGTATGACTGATTCGTTTCTTATGTTCGATTTATGATCCTATACGCCCCTTAGTCTTTTCAGGGCCCCATGCGATAGAGTCATACTTACCTTGTCTATCCACATTTGCTCTTTGTTATTGGCTGGCAGGGCTCACTTTCCTGTTCGGATAAATTTGTCACTGGGATTGGAACTTCTTTTGGCTCTAATCCACCATAATGGAGGTGGCTTCTACCTGCGACCAATCTTACGTATCCTAAGTTTGTCATCCGTCCACAAAAGATTTGAAAAATGTAACATGTTTTCGCCGACCTTTCTGAGCCCCGATCGCTAGGAAGTAATCACGTAGTACCCATTCTCCTCGCCTGAGCACAAGGCCCAAATCTCAGAAGTAAGCGTTGGCTCCACCGCAACAACAATGCACCACCCTCATAAATGAGTCTATTCGACGTGCCGCACCTCTCCCCAGCCAGCTTCGAAGGTCGTGGATCCAGGAAGAGTCATTCCTAGTGATCGAGGTCAAGCAAACCGTTGATGGTCTCACCTTTCTTCTCCTCTTTTGCTTGGGCGACTTTGATGAAATAGGAGTAAAAGTGGTAGAGAAGAAGACTTTTTGGAACTGGTCTAAGCGAGAGGAGGTCATTCGGGATAGCATGGGTGCCTTGGGAAAAAAATTACGTTTATTGCCATCTTTATTCCTTCTTATCGGATTGGTTTCTTTTCCAATATTCATTCGAAATACATAGTGTGACCCAACCCGCCCAATAACACATAATTTCCTTCACATAAGTGTCTGCGTATTTTGAGCGGTCGATGTAGACCAATCATACGTACCTTGATTATTCTCGAGCATTATTTGCTTTCCTTCGATACCGTTTACTAGAAGACGGCCTAAGTTTATTGTTGTTTTTTAATCTTACTATCGAGACCCTTCCTTTCTAATTATTCATAAAATTCACATTACAACATCACAAAACATTTAAACCTACATTTTTTTTTTTTCCAAACTTCTTACTCATCTCAAGCGGTTTTGAACATTATCTCTTGTCTATATTTTAAGGGATACTCACCTGGTTGTTTTTTAAGAATAAGCAGAACAGTATAAGAACGAACACACAAAACCATACAATATTGAAACACACAATTTAACAAATGTTAGCAACTAAGGATTAAAATCATCTTCATTACCATGAACACGTAGAACACCAGATCACATACCAACAAACAACTAAGGTGACTTTTATTTGTATACATCAACAATATTTTTTTCAAATTTCATGAATAGTTCTCAAGAAAAAAAATGAAAAAAAAAAAATGCAAAAAAAAAAAGAAAAAAAAAAA